AAAGGCAGTTACAACCAACAGTCTTGCTCTAAAGCTGGAGCTGGCAGAGGCTATATATTGCTTTAGAGGTAAAATAATCAGTCTCCAGTGGGAGTATGAAGGGCTGCAAGCTGTGATTACTTCACCAATGTTTTAGCAAAGAGGCCAGTAATAGCAGCATAGGCTGAGCTAAACTGGGAGCTTCCTGCACTCTGAACCTATTGACCCCAGAACAGCGTGAGGAGCTTTCCACACGGGATGTGAATATGAATGAGACTTCTGCTCTCACTTTCTGTCTGCTCTCAGGACTCCTTTTGTAAGTCATACACATAACTATGCTAGCCCTGAAAGAGCTGACACTGTGCTGCAAAGTACCAAATAAATTATGATTAATTAAAAATAAGAAAATGTAAGAAACACCGGCACCTGGCAGCAGTCCTGCTAGGAGCAGGCGGGAAGCTCCAGCCAGCCTGTGCTGCACTCCCACATAACCTGTGCCACACACAGACGGCACGGCACTTGGAAAAGCATGACCTGAGACAAAAGGATGCTCATATTTCATCTTTTCCCAGTCCTTTAGAAATGCAGCAGCCTGATGTAACCCTTCTGCACAGTGTATCTTAAAAAATAAAATACTGATCATACCCTGAAATTCAAGATGCTATTATTGATCTACAAACCTGGAGATTTATGTTAAATTTTAAAGCACCTTCCATTTTCTTTCCCACAAGGAATGGGGTTTTTTTTAATACATTTTTCTGAGAAAGGCTTCAAGAAAATCTTTCCCTATACATCCTTCCTGCTGCTCGGTCATCCATGTCCTGATCCACCAGAACAGGCTCATATGTAATTAGATTCCAAAGATAGATGGGATTTCTAGGAGTGAAGGACATGCAACATACCACAGGATCTTGAAGGGCTCATGAAATTAAAATATTTCATCCCAGACCTTTATGCATATATTGTAACAGATAAACTTACTGCACCTATTTGTATCATTAAAAAGTCAGTTGCTGAGATTTGGGAAAGACTCTTATTTCTTCCTCTTTCTTGGACTAATCTTTTATTTGATTATAATTTGATTATAAATAAGACTACATTTAGGACAAGGTGGAAGAAAATATCATACAGATGAAAATCTGTATTAGTATATACATATATCACATCATAACATGATTACTTACAGCATCATTTAATGATACAATGGATGTTAGTAGTATGTGTCAGTATGGCGAAAGAATGAATACACAGACACATTCTTCAAGGCATCTTGAAAATGATGAAAAATGAAAAAGCATTAAGAAAAAGTTATAGCGATGTATTTTAGTGCTTCAGTCTGCTGTTTCTAAAACTGCTTGTGAAGCAGAGTGCTTTAGCACACCTGCATCATTTATCTGCAGCATCTCTACAGCTGGGAGTGCGCCTTAATGCTCATGGCAGGGAGCCAAATTCATAAGCAACCAACCAGCTCAGGAATTGCTTTCCTCATTGCTCACCTTTTCTACTGAGAGGCTGCAAAGAAGGAGAGACAGATAAAATCTTGCTTTGATATAATGATTGTTGTGACCGACCTCTCTTCAACTATTCACTGGATGTTTCAAACTGAAAATCTGTTTTCATGCAGTTCTAAAAGCTACTGAAATGACTTCCTGAAAAGTGAGAAGGGGAGGTAGCTAAGGATGCCTTTTTGTGTTTGAAACAAAGGAAAAACCATAACCCCCCAAAACCTCTTCAAATTTCTCTGGAATGTTTATGTTGATTTTACTTATTTAAAATATTTTATTTCCAAATTATCATGCTACCCCCTGAAAGTCTAAAATAAGCCAATAGCAAACAGAAAGAAAATTTTGAAACTACTTAACTTGTATTCTATTTCCTCTGTTTTAAAACACACACATTGTTTAAGGAAGATCCACGTGCACTGAATGTTATGTTTTCTTCTATTTTGAGTATTCAAATCAATGCAAAAAACTGCACTTCTAAAGATGCACTTGGGTGTTCAAGTTGAACTGAAGTTTAGTCTTGAAAGAACTTTATAAATACTCTTTGGGCTAATCCCCACAATATATAATTCTGCTGCTCACAAGAAACTTTCAGCTACTGGCAAGATTATTTGGAAGGAATCTCAAGAGGTCATTGAATCCATCCCCACTGCCAAAGCACACACCCTACAATACGTCACACAGGTACATCAAATATTCTATGAATATGTTCATAGAAGGAGACTCCACAACCTCTCTGGGCAAGCAGTTCCACAGCTCTGTCTGAACAAGCTAATATGGGGGCAGGAAATTAGAAAATTCATACAGGACTACATTAAGCCTATGCAGAAAACCACACCTAAATTGAAAGAATACAGGCAGGTTCAAATGTCCAGTCAAATAGGCTGATTCTGTATAGAATTAGGAGAAACTGAGCTGCACGACTCCTCTATTTATCATCCCATCCCTAGGGACAGAGACAGATTTCCCAAGAGGTTCAGTTTGTTTGTACCTGCACAGGGAAAAAAGCCAAGACGTAGCCCAGATGAGTTTATAGTCCAGGATTGGTAAAAGCGTCTTTTTACCTTCCTTGAGACTCAAGTAGGAATGCATGTTTCTCAATAAATTAACCAGGAAAGTTATGATCTGTCTCCCAGAACCAATTCAAAACTCATTTCCAGTCGCGCATGTTTCACATGCAGAATTAGTATCCCTGTCAAGTGCAACGAGCCACCTCTTCAAGAAATTCCTACAAAAATGAATCACTGAAATGGAGAAGCTCAATCTAATCATCCTCCTCTTTCTTGTCCTTTCCCTTCCTTTTTATGGTCCTGTGCAGAAAACCTGCACCGACCTGCCAAGGATGCGCAGCTCAAAGCTGAGTAAATAACTTTTCTTACAGGAACTACATGAATTCTATGACATGTTTTTCACAACATTGACTTGTTTACAACACTACAGTCCTTTCAGAAGCAGACCACCTTTGGGGAAAGGAACTACTAGAGACTTCCACATGGTGGCACAGTTCCCTTTACTGAAAGACAGCACTGATCTGCGTGCCTAAAGACATTTTTACTTTTATTTTTCTTTTAATGTACTGGCCACTATCGTGGATAGGCTTAAACAGATTTAAAGTCTCTAGCATCTCTCTAACAAGGCCCACTTTGACAAATTCTTCTAACACAGAGTTTAATGAGTTACAAAGCTTCCTTCTCTGAGGCTGTGCTTGCTGCCACGCAGAAGCAAGCATCAAACCAATGCAGTAAGGCAAGTAACGTGGCAGAAAAGCTGAAGAAGCTAGAAATCTGATTTATCCAAGCATCAGGTCACCTGTTTTAAATCCTATCGCACTTCTTTTACTCTCACAATAAGTTGGATAAAATGGACTAACAAGGAACCCTCCTACCACATCTGCCTTTCCATGACTTTTTTCCAGAGGCAAAGATTTTCCTGGTGTTCCCAGACCCACCTCCCATCTCTGCAAGGTATAGCCATACAGCAGCTGGAAGCTCTGCCCTCAGCCTCTGGAGCTGCAGGGTAATACCCAAGCTGCTGAACTGTACCACAGCAGCCCTGCCAGGCAGTGATAGATAGCACATCAGTGCTCAAGTGATGCAATAAACATAAAACACTTGTATAATTCCTACTCCATTTCTTGTCCTGCTCCTTTCAGCCACTTCAGCGAATGTTTCAGTGCTCAGCTACGATTACTCATGTAAGCATCATCAGCACAATTTGGCCTACGCAGGAGAAAAAAAGCCAGGTGCTGTGGACAAGCTCTTGGCTTCATCTCATTTTGCTGATACTGGATAGGTATCAGCTCCATAAATTGTGTAGCTTAACAGCTAGTCATACAGGAGGGAGATGATGACCAGTGCTCTTTGTCCACACAAACACTCCACACAAGGACTCCCCCAGTGCTAATTATCCAGTGAAGAATGAAACGTACCAAAATGTCAGCTACTTGCAGTGCTTTCCACACTGTAAGACATTTGAAAGGAACAGCTTTCTGAAGACTGGTACCTAATGCTCATCACTCCCCCACTCCATTTACTGTGCCTGTCATTATAACGAGAGCAGCTGAAGCCTCGCTTTTTAACTGCCAGCCTGCCAAGCGAAACAAACTTATTTACATCTGATTTAAACATCACAAGCCAAATAATCAAGACGACAAAGTACCCTGATCAGTCTGTTTTCTCTCCTAAAATATATCGTTAATGCTATTATAATTATTAAATCTGTTTCATACTGTCTTTCTGCATGTAAGTAGCTTCTGCTCCTGTCAGTCACTGCAGGTGTATGGCAGCAAAGGCGCTCATTTAAACTAGTTGGATTTCCAATTTTAGAGATTCGCATACATTCTTAAAAATGGATGCAAGCACATGGCAAAATTGTCAACAAGACCAATCTGGAGACATGTGCACAAGCTTTCAAAACCTCCTGCTGCTTCCTTCTCCTCAGAAAGTTTAGATTACATCACTGAAGGCCCCAATTTAATTATGGTGCTTGTTCACATAGTAGTCTCACTTTTACCGATAAATTTTATCCTCAAACTAGACTGCATTCTCTGTTCTCTGAAATACAAAGTTCCTTTTTCAAAAAAGCAACTTCCTTGTTAGTATCTGAGAGTTGAAGCAGCCACTTGAGCAAAGAGCATTTAAAGAGGGGACAAACTTGAGAATAAAGAGCCACTGCCACCAATGAAAGCCCCAGAAAGCTGTCCAGCCATAACAAAAAACAAGCCTCTCTCTTACTTAGAACACAAAACTTGCTTGGTTGTGCAAGGGGTCAGTTATTACCACTTACTCTTCAGCTGTAACAAGCAATTTCTTGGCTCTTGGTCACACTATCCTGACCAAATGGAATAAAACTTTAAATTGCAAATTCCTTTGAAAAAATTAGTCTTGCATGGTCAACCTATATTGTGCCAAAAGGAGGAGTATATTAAACTTCACAACCTAGGAGACATTCTGCAGCTTGCAAGTTATGTTCACAATTGCAAATTTTAACTGTTATCTCACAGTGTATTTTCTTACAGACCTTGGCTTCTGGATCACTGTTGATGCTACAAGAATCATCATCATCAGACTGTGGAGCATTTCTGTTAAAAAAAAAACAAAACAAAACAAAAATCAACTTAAAAATAAGGTAAAAATTAAGGCAAACACCATATGAAACTGGTTACTCCATGGGAATTTCTGAAGTCATCGTACCTGAGCTTCAAGGAGGCATAGCGCAATGTGGCTCCTTCAAACTCTTTCAAACTTGGGTCTGGGTTCACAGTGGCTGCATGCAGGTCCTACAGATAAAGGCAGTTTGGTCAATGCAGTATTAAGGACACTGCCGTGTTATTTCTTATTTCAAAGGGAAATTAAATCCTCCCTGCAAAGAAGCGACAGTATTTCTGGCTGAAGTTGAAAAGAGGCATGCATATGTATTCTCAAGCTGCATTTCATTCAGTGCAGGCATCTTATTTGTTATATCATGGCAGTTGCCCTGCAAGTTTAGGCTGAATCCATTCCACGTGGAAAGATCAGAAAAGGCAGCATGTTTGTGAGCTACACATCCTTAGCAGTACCCCCATTCACTTCGGCCTAAGTTATGAATGACATTCATGGAGAAATAAAAGGGAAAAAAACAGCCACTGCCATGCAAAAAACAAGGGTAACAGTATTAAAGGTTCTAAAATCTGACAATATACTTGCCTTCCAAATGTCACTATTAATCTTTCCCCCATTCAGTACAGCAAAATCACTCCATGGCTGTTTCTAGACACATAATTATTCACACAGGAAGAAGCACATTGATAAAAAAAAAAAAAAAAAAAAAAGAAAAAGAAAAAGAAAAAAAAAAACACAAGACACTGTTGTTAGCATTGATATTTACAGGATGGGTTAGGGAACAGATCACCTCAAACTTCAGCTAATTACTATACCATGGCATTTGGAGGAAAGGGAAGAGAAGACATGCTTCTAACAGTTACTTACCAAAACAAATGATTGAAACAAGGAAAGTTAATATAAATTAGGAACGAACAATGAAATTATTCTTTAACTATGATCTTAAAAGCAAGCAAAATAAATCTGAATATGAATGTTGGCCACAGCTGCTACAGCCTGGTAAACAGCAGTTTAGGGGAAACACAAGGATTTCCATTTGATTGCCACATTTGTTAAGGGACTAATACTACTGGAACTAGAACTGCAACACAATGATATGCACAAGGAGAAGATACATACAAGGTAAAGATCAAATATTTTCTAGGGAAAAAGCACAAGGAACAAAGTGAAGGGAAGAAGGATTAATAAGGAGTGCAGAGAGATTTTTTGTTGAGAAAGTACTTTTGTAAAATCTAGGAACTTTTTTTTTTTTTTTTTTTAAGAAAACAAAACAAACCATCCACTCTCTCATTTTCCATTTAGCTTTCTAATAGCTCTGATGCATTCAGAGTGGCACAATTAATAAGGCAATAGTGCATTTAACACTATGGCAATCTGAGTTTTGTCCTTCCCTGCAAAGCCTAGGAGGAGCACCTAATGTTGGAGCTGTCGCCCCTCCTTCCCCACAGGGAAGACCCCCAAATAGCTCCCCAAATCATCAAGATTTCCCATAATTAATAATAATTAATAATAGCCCCTCCCAAGACAAGCTGTGCACTAAGGCCAAGCAGAACCCACACACTCAGTACATTAATTCAGAGTATGGATCTCACATCTCAGATGTGTTCTCAGGAAATCTCGCCTGGAGTAATTATTGGTTAAAAACAACTCCCACAGTAACTCCTCCCAAGCATGCCTCTGACTTAATTAATAGTTGTTAGCTTTTCCTACTAAGCCCCTCATTTTTAAATTATTAGCTGTTGGCAATTATGTTACCTATGGAATAACATCTAGAGCTGATCCAAGTGTGTGATGAATCAGACTTTAAGAAGACAACTACCATCACCACGTTCTACTGGGACCTCAAAGAAGTTCTTATTGAAAATTAAGCCCCTTCTCTCTGCACAGGAAATGGGAAAAAGGCAGTAATTTCTCTAAAATTTGGAAGAAAACATACAAAACATGAGGATTTACAAAGGAAGTCAGTCATCAATGCAGAGAAGAAAAGAGCCAACTAAGTGAACTTTAACCACCTGTCCATGTGGTTTTGTTTTTGTGCTTCTGCTAGTAGTAGCTTTTGGAGTAGAAAGGGAAAGAATAATCCAGGTTAGCCATACTTAGTGTTTATTAGCACTTCTGCTAAATGTGCAGAATTTTCGCATAATGTGTAACCTGCAACTGGTTTAGATTGAAATTCACTAATTATCTTGAAAAGTAAAACTGTCTCACAGCCTGAGCAAGAGTAAGACGTTTTTGTATTTTTCATTTTTTAAAGCCCTTTGTGCCATATGTGTGCATTACAACACCATTTTTCCATGCTCATTTTCTTGTAACTTGCTGTTCAATGCTAAGTATCTGTTGTACTTCATGCTAACTGCCTGCAACCAGGCATGGAATAAAACTGGCTATCGTTGTTGACTGCCCTCAGCTGTGAGCCACATTCTACCAAATGAAGCAAAGTTTCTGTATGTCACATCATTTAAGAGACAGGGACACAAAGCTAAAATAAATAACAAACAAATTAATAAAGAAGGAACAAGACAAAGGGTAAAAATAGCATTACTCAGGGAACAACAAAAAAAAAATCTATAATTCTATATGTTTATTTGACTAACCTAGAAGCTGGAATAGCCCAAACAAACTAAAGACTAGCACTTAATGCTTCACAAACAAAAGTGATAAAATAATTGTTATGGAGTGACAAAAGCCCATTAAGACAAATAAGAAATGCTACCCACACCAATCTTCAATCCTAGATTGCCCTTTCATCCATCAAAAAGATTTTCAGAAGAAAACAATACAACTTCCTGCCCATGGGGTTGAACTAAAGCAGCCCTTCCAAGCCAGATCAGTTTGAAAGCCTGTACTCTGAGCAGCTCTATGGGAACCAGCAGTACACAGCTCAAAGTGCTCCAGCCTCAAACTGGAACCTGTCCACCACAACCACTGCTGCCAATGGCAGCACCAGGGTACAGACATTTGGGAGCCTCATTCTAGATCAAATTCCACATCTTTTTTGTCAGACTGACAGACACAGATTTCCAAATTAATTCTATCAATGTGCTGGTATTTTATTGCAGTGCTATCTTAGTAATGATAGTCAAAAAATCAGTATTATTTAAATAGTAGCATGTCGGAAGCTTATTGGTGAACATAGAAACCTTCAAGAGATGAATTCCTCAGTTTATATCTACAATTAAAATAGGCATATAATATTAAGATATTAATAAAAGTATCAGGAACTTGTTTATTTTCGATATAATCTTTTAAGATACAGTATATCCTATTGATCCTGCCATAGAAATGCATATGCTTGACTGGATCAAATTCTTCAGTGCATTAGCACATCCACATCAAAATCTAAGTTTAATTTGAGTTCTATATATGGCATATATATGGCATTTTAGAATAGCTCTTCAAGTATTCTTATTTTATACATTCACACTGTACTAAGATCTGTGCTGCTATAATTATTCTCTGTTTAAAGAAATGAAAATTATAAAAGATTAAAGGTCCATATGCCACTTTACCAGCAGGTCTAACATTTTCACTGCAAAGACATTTTAAACAGAGGCAGAAAAATAATTCAAAAGAATATATGCATTCTCTTGCAATTTACTAACCTAACTGATTTCTGGGTGGTCATGAAGGACATCTACAACTTCCCTATTGAAGCCCATATGTTGTCCATATTCTAGAGAAATACTTAATGTTGAAGTTATATATCCCTCACTTATACAATCCAGACATTTGAAGTTGGAAGAATTTGCAGGAATTTATATGGAGCATTTCTGACTTCTTTTTTCTTATTTTCTACATGATTGATACCAATTGATGTTCTTTCTGCATGAACCTCTCTCAGAAATGATTTCCAGTGTGTTTGGTGAACAGGCACCTTACTGATGTGAACTGTAACTAAAATGGTGTGGTCAAGTTTGGCAACCTTATGAGTAGCAGTTGTGAATACATGGGAACAATCTTTCTGAAATAATAAACAAGAATGTGCATGTTTAAGCCTATACAGGATAAAAGTTTCAGGGTCAAAACTTTAACACATATTTGAATGTCCTTTACTCCCCTTGCTTTTCACCTATGTTATTTTGGTGCATGTATCAATAAAGTCAAGAACACAAAAAATGTCATACCTAAATACATTAAGAAAATAATAACCAAATACTGCCTGATACAAAAATCAAAGCTAGTACAAAGATTTCAATTGATTCCATAAAGCTGTAGACACTCTTCTGGAAAGTCAGAACAAAAAAGGATTACGTTTCAAAATAATCTGTTATCGTGTTAATGGTTCATTCCACAGAAGTCAAGTCTACGTTAAAAACCAACGTGATTCCATTTTTGAAGCATACTCTTCCTTCTCAGTATTTATTTTATATTTCTATGTATACAACATTCAATCAACCTTCTCAAGTGTGTCTTCAAGGATTAGTTTAAAAGGCAGTATCATATATTGCTCTTTCAGCCCATGTAGAAAGAGAGAACATCTTTCTGTTTCTAGTTAAAGACTGACTGCAACACAGTGATCTACTCACGCAGATATTTTACACTGACAAGATGTTAAGAGGCTTACTCTTGAGAATACTTGATATTTATTTAATAGCAACTACCCTGTAAAGCAGCTGCTGTCTCAAATGAATTCTTTGTGTGATACTCCCTCCTACTATGTGAACCAAAAAGAAGATGCAATTACAAATAGTCTAGCAAAAAGATAGCTATAATGTGCAGAAATTTTATGTACCCATATAACGGAGTAACGCTTCGGCACATACTGCAGTCATTTCACATCAATCACGCACTGACTTATTTATGCGAGATATGATGTTTGATTTCATCCTACACATCCCAAGTTTAGGATGCTTTATGAGGCATAGCCATTAGAAAATACACATGAAAAGTAGGCAATTACAATATATTGTCAACAAGAAGCTCTACTTCAGAATAGCATCAGGCCTCATATTCTAAAGCTTACTTTAGGTAACGTTCAAACATGTCAAGAAGGTATGTCTTCTTATTTTTATTTTTTTTAATGGTACACAGCACACATCAGGACAGCGTGTTACCTCAGTTTCTGGAGTAGGAGATGGAGTAATGGAACCAAGTGAGCCTTTCCTTGAGCCCTGAAGATCTGTTTGAACAGACACAGGACGTTGCCACTGAGTTGTTCCCGTAGGTATATGCCAGTAATAGATTCCAGCAATATCATTGATTTTTTTCCATCCAGGTGGTAAGTCTGGGTCTGTCTGAAATGATTGATCACTCCATATATCTGCTGGGAACAGGAAAAAAAAAAAAAGAAAGAAAGAAAAAAAAGAAAATGAATCAATGTTAAAAAGATATGAATGGTTTTTTTTCATAGGTTTTCACCTGATGCAAACAAAACACAGCAGGTACTTCTATTCCTAGGGACAGGAACACCAAGAAAAACTTGACTTACTGATCTCAAAATAAGGCACGAAAGCCTTTGTGGTTTGAATTAGCCTATAAAGAGAGGGAAAACTTAACAAAGAGCCATTCCAATATGGCTGTTACCCAATACCATCAGATAAACTAGCTTTTCTAATAGCGTTTAGCTTTAGGTATATTAAAACACAACATATAAAGAAATATCTGGAATTGTGATGTAACCTGTTCTGCTCCCTTCATCACATTACTTTCCTTTGTCAATGCACGCTAGCAGAGCATGCATTTCTGCTAATCAAAATCAGCTTATCAAAGGAAAGAAATAATAACAGAAAACCAGAACCTGCAATGGCTCTACTTGCAACATCCCTACTTGCTCAAAACAATGCAAATAAAAGAACATAATGAACATTTTGCATACAACCCTGGCTGTCAGAAGTAACATTATTTTGAACTGGTTTTATAATAGGGTAGGAAAAAAAAGCCCAACCTCATCAACAGTGCCAACACAGGGATAAAATGCTGGCTCTGCTGACAAATCTATTATGAACTGAAGAATGTGCCAACAATTCGTATCATAATTAGAGACGCTCCCAAACTTATATGAGATTACAAATACGTATAAGAAATGTCACCAGTGGAAAAAAAATACAGTACTTTTTATAAAGGCAGAGGCATCTCTGTGAAAAACAGCTGTACCTCAGCAAGGGCAGTTTTCTCCTGGGGAATATATACTTTCCAGAGGCTGGGAAGAGAGCCAGTGCTCTTTAAAACTTCCCAGCTAAAAGTGCTTTGGAAGTGTCATTATGTTATGTGTTGTTAACCAGGTGCTATGCTCCAAGGGCTGTCAGCTTGCAATAACCTCCTGGACTGACGTTTCACCAGCACTCAAGCAGACATGAGAGGCTGACACTGGCATACAAACTGTTCTAGCAAAAAAAGAAAAAAACAACACTGAAAAGAAAGGAAGCACTGTACCAATGAGCAGCAGCTCATCTATTCTAGCAACTCCATCACAGCTTTCAGATACAGGCTTCAAAACACCGACAATGGAGGGTAGATGAACTGCAGAACCAGATGAGTTGGAAGGGACCCTTAACGGCCATCTAGTTCAACTGTGCTGCAACAAACAGGGATACTTACAGCTAGCTCAGGTTGATCAGAGCCCTGTCCAGCCTGGCCTTAAACATCTCTAGGGACAGGACATCTACCACCTCTACAGACAGCCTGTTCCAGATCAACCTGACCATGGGAAGAAATCCACTCCATCAGAAGAAGCACTGGAGTTTGTTTAGGAAACTGTTATGAAGCTGATATGGCGAGAATTCCATACTTTCCCCATTGAATTAGCGGAAAATAGTAGAAGGTCAGTTATTTATAACTGTTGGACAACGTATTTATGGAATATTTTATTTCACTTGTCATGAAAAAAAACACAGAAAAAGATAATAGATTAAAACAATTTCCTGATTTATACTGTCAGTTGCTTTATATCTTCCTTCTTCACATCTTTACTGAATTAAAAGTTTATTGTTAGCCCAACTAACATTTCTTACTAGGTGCTTCAGCACTTCTATTACCTGTTTCTCAATACTTCTCACTTCTGCTGTTGTCACTTAGGCACATGCAAACTCACACACAAATGGAATGATAATTTGATTGACTCTTACACTTCACGGCACAAACCAGACAACTTTTCTCACAATGCCATTTTCAATTCTTAAGTTACTGATTTACAATTTCAGGGTTAATCTGAGAAAAGAAACATAACTTTATCATTAAGCTTAAATTCAATGAAGTGCTTTATGGATCGCCCCCCAATATCATGGATCAGATGCAATTATATAATCAATTAAAAAAATTCCCAAGTATACTAAATATTCACATCAACATGACCTCTATAGCCTCTCCTGCATTCACTTACATAGTTCCTGACTCTAAGCTCTTATAAGTCTTGAAGTGGATTCATATTCGTATTATGCCTCGGATTGGAAGGGTCCAACCCCTCCTCCCCTCTGTGCACAGGGTTACCACTCACTAATTCTGGTTGCCTAGGCTCGCATCAAGCTTTTTGTCCAACAGGACCCCTTAGTCCTAGTCCTTAGGGCTGCTCTCAATGAGTTCTTGTCCCAGTTCATGCACAAATCTGCGACTGCTCCAACAACCTGGCCCATTTTTATTTTCAAAACAAACAACTTACCTGCACTTTTCCCAACCAGGTGAAAAGAAAACAAAACTTTCAATAACTTAACTACATCATGCAAAATACTGGTATGTACAAAGATTAATTATCTCAGTATCACAGTGAAGTATGCACAGCACAAGACCAAATACACACGAGTAAGTTTAAATAAGTGGTTCATGAATTCCAAAATATCACAATAATGCTGGTGTTCATAAAATATACATATTGGGCCTCTCAGTGTATGCTGGAACAGAAAAATGATAAGCCTTTATTACACAATGAGGAACAGTTTCACATTAGTTCAGGTTCATATAGTTTACAGTATTGTATGGTAACAACCATACCTCAACAGCGCCTCGACATGAAATGCCACTGTGCTCATTTTAAGAAGACAGACACTGTTTCTGTCCTTGTCATATAAACATACATATGTATGCATACATATTTGCATATGCTGTTTGTGAGGTACTATGATGTGGCTGAATTATTTCTTTTAAACAAATCAACCAAAGATACAGAGAAAACAACACAATTATTTATTGCAACAATATACTACCAGAAATACCTAATCTGAAGTGACCTTGAAGTGTAACTGTACAGAACTAGCAGCAGAGGAAAATTGTCAATCTAGAGACTAAAAACAACAACATTTGTGTAACATTTAGCCAGAATATAATAAATTCGCTTGTGCATGAAGGAGCACTTGGAAACAAATCAGGTAAAACAGCTGGATGCATTATGGGGGTAGAAAATATCACCTGGCTGAGTACTAATTATTTACTAGAAAAATTACGCATTAAGAAAAAAACATACAAAAATATGCTTGCATATGTTCTCAGATAAAATAGGGAGTTAAATTTAATCATCAACTGATTAATGCAGCTGAACAGGAGGAAGCCAGATCACAGGTGTTACCAGTTACTGATCCAGCCAATTAAGGAAACGAAAGTCAGCTGTGCAAACCTACTTGAAATAAATGCAACCTTGTCCCACCTTTGCAAACACACCTCAACATCCACAGGCTAACCTGCTCACAGGCTGTGACTTCCTACCAGCACAGACTGGAAAACCAACCTAGCTTGCCCTCTTCTGTAACAGGTGAAAGCATTCACCATGCACATGGAAGGTAATGACCCATCACAAGATACAGAACACAGGAAGATGTAAGTAAAAGCCAACGTACAAAATCTGACAGGATAGATGAATGCTCTGCAGTGGAAACATACTACAGGAGACAAGTTTTCTTTATTTGACTATAGAATGATGGGTAGTAAAATACTTTTCCTTTGAATTCCGAAGATCTTGCTAAACAGTACGATATTGAGTCAAAATGTCTACTTGCTATACAGTCCACAGTAATAACAGCCACTTAGCAGAGCACAGAGGGAAAAAAAAAAAAATGGGGCCACACTGATACTGTTACATTCAACAGTCTTTTCAGTTCTAATCTTCTGGAAAAAGGGGACGACCACAAAAGGAAGAGGGGAGAAAGGAAGCGAGTATCTGTACTGCTGCTGTAGCATTTTACAACCTGCATGCAACAAAACCAAACATTTTATGACCATTGGGAACCTTTCTGCTGTACCTCCCTACCCAGAGGTGAAGTTCTACACTGCAACTCATGGTCTTTTCCATGCTTTTCACTGATTTGCAGATGAAAGGTTTTGTTTTGACTTCATACACCAATAATTGCAGGCTGCTGGTGCAGCATTGTGTGATATCCTGATGACGTGTGCATTCCAAAAGGCAGATGTGAGGCTATGCCAGGTGGGTATACACCCCTAGAAAGAATCATAGTGAAACTAATAATTGTAAACTACTGTGCAAAAGAAGTATGTCAAACAATTAGAAGCCAAAAGCACATATATGCTGTAAGAAACAGGATCACATTCTTATATTCTGTTTTTGGAAATGAACCAAGTTCTCTTTGAAATGATGATAAACAAGGTGCTAGGGACAGAGTAGTCAGTGCCTCTCCACTGAAGTCCTTGAGCATGGCTTTTTTTGTTTGTTTGTTTTTTAAAGATTCATTTCTGTAAGCATAATTTCTTGTACTTGGAAGCAGCTGATGATGTAAATGCAGTTTCTAGCTGATGCAAATGCAGCTTACCTGGAATTGTAGAAGCGTCTGGTTTCCAGTCCCTCTTTTCAGCAAAGAAGGGCTCCTTTCACTGTGTGGTGGCTGAATGACCAAGTGAGACCATTTGCCTGCAAGACTCAACAATGCTTCTAAGCACTTGATCCAAATTATCTAAATAGGTTAGGAAATAAAATACCCATTCTGTACAAAGATGAGAGATCTCACTTTTCTCCTTTCAGAAAGTAGTCACTTCTCATTTACCTCTCTCAGTTCTTCAGACTGTTTTATATCTGTTCTACCTATAACGATTCTCAAAAGAAAAGGGAGACCATCCAAATGCAGGATTTGATCTAGATTTTGATTATCTACCACTCTTAGGAGCATATTTCCACACTGGAAACATTGGAATGTTTGGTGTTCAGGCTGGGAACACAATGGTCCACCCGAGACATATTCAGAGTTCTCCAAATCTACAAAAAATAGTCCGGCCAATATTAAATTCAGAAATCCGTTTTTCAGTCTCTGGCTCTTCCGTTGCTCACATTCCAGCAGCTGGCACACATACAACATCCGCAGAGAAATTAAAAAAAAAAAACAAAAACAA